AAGAAGTATATTTGGTTTTAAATTTTGTTGCTATGTTATGTGTGGTTGTGAAGTTTACTAGCTATTTTCCGAGATCTTTCTAGAAGACTACGAACAACGGACGATGGTAACGTTGAAGCGGAGGGGGTTATTTGTTGAGTTTGTTTCTGTGGAGTGTATGAAAATAGGGATTTGCATGCGATAATTACCTTATGTGAACAGGGGACTAACCTTTGACAGGTCGACGATGGCTATTTTGCGTGATTTATAGGAAACAGCTTTTGTTAGAGGCCAGTTGTAATAACACACCGTTTGTGTCCTCAAAGCAAGACAAAATATGTGTACTACTAATGAAGAATTTGTTTAGATCATATAATGATCATGTTTGTGTCGTATAACTCATTCTTGAATTCTCTTTCATATGTCGTGTTCTTTGTGTAGTTTCAGACATATCATCAAAAGAATCCAATTCGGAGCAAGTAAAACTGTGCAAGACGAAGCAAAAGAAGGCAGTAAGTAAGAAGAGCATGGCAACGAACAAAGTAATTTTCTTACTTCATTCTGTGTTTGCTTACTTGGTTTATTTCCTTAACATACTTCTTCGGTTCCTTGCGTGCTTCCTTGCTTACATACTTGTTACATGCATTCATACATACATACATGTTCACATTCTTTGTTTATTTACCTGCATACTTGCTTTAGTGTACACATTCATAATTGCTCCTCTGTTTCTTTGATTCGTTGTTTACCTTATTGCTTTGATTCTTTGCTATATTTTGCTTTAGCCTCCTATTAGATATATATTTTATTTGGTCACTAAACTGTCTCAATTTATCTTCCTATTATATATATATATGTTTCTTGCTTGAGATAGTTACTATTTTGGTTACTATTTGAAACATTATACAAATGAAACCCTTGAGCGTCTATCAAGGCAAATTCGTCATTACCCAATAGACCAGCCCTTCTGTGTATGTGAAACAATGGTTTATCGAAAATAAGTGTGAGTATTACAAAAAAAATAGTAATAATAAAATAATATGTAAATATTATAGCAGATTTTGCCACCGGGCTTGTGTTGCATCATCTATGTAATTTAGATAATTCATCAGATTTGTTTTAAATTTTTTTCCATAATGATTTATAAATGGCATATGATACAGTTGCTTTTGGAAAAGTTAAAATATAAACCAAAAAATTCACTTGTGATTTTCATTGGTATTATATTTAATATTTATTGCAATATTTTTAATTTAGTCTTTTTTTAATTATATATAGTCATGAATCACTAAAGAAGAGGCGCACCTAACATGTCAGCAATCTTGAGCAATTTGTAAATTTATTGAGACTCTCTTAAGCCTCTTTGTCAATACGAGATGAGTCTCCTAGATAAAACCAAGGATTTTATGGCTGATAAATTCGATGGAGTTCCTAAACCGAAAGGTTCGGTTACAGACGTTGATCTTAAAGGCATGGACCATGAGGGAGATAATTAAAAGGAGAAAAAGTGGGAGAGAGGAAATAATAAAGTTCGATGCTCAAAACACTGTTTCAGTCGATTGATTTTGAATAATATGTTAGGTTTTTTTTCTTTTGGAGTTTTCTTGAGTGATTAAGTAGGTGGAAACTAAAATATTTATTTGAAAAAGCTCAGAGAGAGAGAGAGGGAAGATCTACTTCGAAAAGAAGAACAAGAAGGGGAGAAAGATAGGGGGAGAAGAAGAGAGAGAAATAGAAAGAAATAAATGGAGGACATAGAGAAAGAGAAAGATAACAGAGAAAGAGAAGGGTAATAGAGAGAGAGAGAGAGAGTAAAGAGAAAGGAAATAGAGGAGGGAGAGAGAAATGGGTATGGGAGAATTAAAAGGAGAGTAAATAATAAAGTTTCATGCTCAAAGCACTGCTTCAGTCGATTGATCTTGAATTAAGATTATCTTTTTTGGAAAAATTAGAAATAAAGGATGTTTTTTTGTACATTCTTGTCCATTTATATCTTTATTTTTGAATATTAAATTATACTTAAATCACCCCACAATCATATATTTTAATATATAATTTATTTTTTAAATTCGTTTTTAAAGAAAAAAATTATTTAAGGAAACAAAAAATATCTATTATTCTAAAAATGTAACAAAAAATATTTACAAAATCTTTTTTTGATATGTTCTGCAAAATTTAGAAGGTTTCTTCTGCGAATTTCCTATGATCTGTAAGTTTTAGAATATGCATTACGCGGTTTCTATATATTCTGCGATTCCGTAGATTATACAGTCTGCATAATGTACATATTCTGTAAAGTTTAGAACAGGTTTTCTGCAGGTTTTGAAATTCAGAACATGATTTTTTTTTCAATTTTTTATGTTATCTTTATAATATACTCTCTATTTGTGATTCTCTTAGATATACGCGAAAATTAATGGTGTGGTCTAAAAAATATTAGATACATTTAACATAAATTTGGTGAGTTTATTGAATTTGTTGTCTGCTTTACAACAAATTAATCTAGGAGAATTTATAAAAAGAATTGTTTATCATAAATAAATACAACGTAAATTGATGTGACGTATACATATATATATATATATATATAAATCATTGGTAACAATGAATAAAGATTTATTATTGATCAAGAAAAATGTACATCGATTATTTATTTTATAATTTTAAAAAATAGTGTTGAATTTAAGGTTTCTTTGGTTAAATTATGTGTTAATTTTTTTAATAATTATTAGAAATAAAGGATGTTTTTGTACTCTCTTGTCCATTTACACCTTTATTTTTGAATGTCAAATTATACTTAAATTACCCCCACAATCATATATTTTAATATATAATTTCTTTTTAAAATTCCTTTTCAAAGAAAAAAACTTATTTAAGGAAACAGAAAATATCTATTATTCTAAAACCGTAAAAAAAAATATTTACAAATTTTTTTTGTGATATGTTCTGCAAAATTTAGAAGGTTTCTTATGCGAATTCCCTATGATCTGCAAGTTTTAGAACATGCATTATGTGATTTCTATATATTCTGCGATTCTGTAGAATATACAGTCTGCATAATGTACGTATTCCGCAAAGTTTAGAACATCTTTTCTACAGGTTTTGGAATTAAGATCATGATTTGTTTTCAAATTTTTATGTTATCTTTATAATATACTTTCTATTTGTGATTCTCTTAGATTTATGCAAAAATTAATGGTGTAGACTAAAAAATATTAGATATATTTGACATAAATCTGGTGAGTTTATTAAATTTGTTGTTTGCTTTACAACAAATTAATCTAGGAGAATTTATAAAAATAATTGTTTTTCATAAATAAATACAACATAAATTGATGTGACGTATATATATATATATAAATCATTTGTAACAATGAATAAATGTTCATTATTGATCAAGAAAAATGGACATCGATTATTTATTTTGGAATTTTGAAAAACAAATAGTGTAGAATTTAAGGTTTTTTTGGTTAAATTATGTGTTATTTTTTTTAGTAATTATTAGAAATAAAATTAAGAAATAAATGATGTTTTTGTACTCTCTTGTCCATTTACACCTTTATTTTTGAATGTCAAATTATACTTTAATTACCCCCACAATCATATATTTTAATATATAATTTATTTTTAAAATTCGTTTTCAAAGAAAAAACTTATTTAAGAAAACAGAAAATATATATTATTCTAAAAACGTAACAAAAAATATTTATAAAATCTTTTTTTATATGCTCTACAAAATTTAGAAGGTTTCTTCTGCGAATTCCTTATGATCTGCAAGTTTTAGAACATGCATTCTTCGGATTCTATATATTCTGCGATTCCGTAGAATATACAGTCTGCATAATGTATATATTCTGTAAAGTTTAGAACATATTTTCTGCGGGTTTTAGAATTCAGAATATGATTGTTTTTTCAAATTTTTATGTTATCTTTATAATATACTCTCTATTTGTGATTTTCTTAGATTTATACGAAAATTAATGGTGTGGACTAACAAATATTAGATACATTTAACATAAATCTGGTAAGTTTATTGAATTTGTTGTTTGCTTTACAACAAATTAATCTAGGAGAATTTATAAAAAAAAAATCTGTTTATCATAAATAAATACAACGTAAATTGATGTGACGTATATATATAAATCATTGGTAATAATGAATAAAGCTTTATTATTGATAAAAAAACATATATCGATTATTTATTTTGAAATTAAAAAAAATAGTGTTGAATTTAAGGGTTTTTTGGTTAAATTGTTTGTTAATTTTTTTAGTAATTATTGGAAATAAAGGATTTTTTTGGGTTTTCTGCAAAACAAACCCTCAAGTGGATTTTTTTTTGCAAGTTTAACCTCCACTTGTAGAAAATGCAAGTCAACCCCTCACATCATGGTCAACCAGCTAAATAACCCTTGTCTATATTGATGACGTGGCAAAAGTGGATGTTGTCTGATTTTCAGACGAATTGTAAAACGCTGCGTTTTAATCAGATAAAAACGACATGAAGTCAGCAAATGTGTGTCGTTTGGATCTTAAAAAACGGCAGGAGTCTTATTTGGGATAGATCATCGGGTTAACCCAAATCGATTTGGGGAAAGAACTAAAAATCAAAACTTGAGAATTGCTCTGAAAAAATTTCGTGAGGATGAGAGATTTCGTGGTGATGGGTTAGGTTAGATCGATTCGACAATTAGGTTGGTGAGGGTTAATCGATTCATAAATTTGACTTTGAAATCGACGGGAGTCAAGTATTCAAGGCAGTTGTGCTCTTGACAAATCCTATCAGGATATTCGACAGGATTTACTTGGTTGTAGAGAATGTCGACAGTGTCAAAGTATGTATCTTTATGATTCAGTTTTTTTTCTAATTTCTGTACATTGTAAGTATTGATTTCACATGTTTAAGATTGAAATTGTGTTTCATTGTGGATGTAACTGTGTGTACCCGAAAATGATCTTCATCTAAATTTTCATTTGTGAATATGCAAATCACTGAAGCTAACAAACTACCTTTCTCGTGCAGCTTTGATTTGTACCTGTATGTTGGTGGTTATTGGTCAGAAGAAGGATTATATCATGGTGGAGAGGCTCATATGGTGGGTAGGTTAAGTGAGGAGACATTTACCTTGAAGTCTGTTTCTATGTACGTAAAGGAGCTCTATGGGTATGACGAGAACATGAGCAAAGTGTCGTGGTTTCCACCAGAAACACCTCACAAGAAAGAAGACGTAGAGGATGATGAGATTTTAAGAAGGAAAGTGCTGCATTATGCTTTGGGATCAGGAGCTATGACTCTATATGTGGTTCGAGAAGATGATCCATATATTGGGAGGCATTCAAGTGTTAGAGTATTGCGCTTATCAGATGAGATTCCTGAAGAAAACGGTCGTAGTGACAGTAGTAGTGGTGATAGTGATTCAGATTCAGAGGCTGATGATAATATTATCGAGCAAGATGAAGAAGAAGAAGAGCACGAGAGTAGTGGTCATAGTGATCTGGCCAATGTTGTGGCACAAGTAGATGAAAGTAAGTATCGCATGTTTAGGTTGGGGCAAAAATACAGATCAATCGAGTCCTTCAGGAATGCTATTACTCGATATGCGGTGAGGAAGAGGAGAGATCTTAGTTTTGAGAAGTCAGATAGCAAGCGTGTAGTAGCAATTTGTTCAGACAAGAAGTGTCAATGGAGGATTTATGCATCTATCAACAGCAGCAGTATTAGAGTGGTTGTTAGGTCGTTCAATGATGTGCATAACTGCACATGGCAAGGTAGGGTCTCCTTGCTGACAAATGCTCGAATTGCTGACATCTACATAGAAGAATTTAGGATCAATCCGAAGATCTCGGCAAAGCAACTACAGAAGAAGCTCATGAAACGCAACATAAATGTTTCAGAAACAATATGTGAGCGGACACGGTTAAAGTGCTTGCAGACATTTGATGATGAGCAAGCCGAGTCATTTGCAAGAATCCACGATTACGTTGGTGAGTTGAAAAAGACTAATCCTGGATCGACAGTTGAATGCGAGGTACGAGAGTCCAAATTATATAGGTTCTACGTTTGTTTTCATGCTTTGAAAGAAGGATGGAAGTCATCATGTAGGAAGATAATTCACATCGACGGAACATTTCTGGAATGGAGGATGACTGGTCAGCTTTTGGTGGCTTGTGGAAGAGACCCAAACGATCAGATGTTTCCCATAGCTTGGGGCATTGTAGATGTTGAGAACAAGCCAAACTGGGAGTGGTTTTTTGAGCATTTGTCTAACGACTTGGATCTGGAAACTGGAAATGGGCTGACACTTGCTAGTGACCAGTGTAAAGGTTTGATTGGAGCAGTGAAAGACGTGCTACCGTTTGCAGAGCATAGGTTATGTGCAAGACATGTCCATGCGAATTAGAAAAAGAAATATTCTGGAGCAGACTTTGAAGACTTATTCTGGGGAGCTGCAGATTCTTACTACCCTGCAGCCTTTAAGAGAAAAATGAATGAATTGAAGCATCTATCTCAATCTGCTTATGATGATTTGAGGATATCCGTTTACTGTCCATGGTCAAGGTGAGTTTTCTGTTTGTATTCTTTGTATTCTGGCTCATTTTCGGTTATATTTGTAACGTAGCTCTATTTATTATGTTGTCAGGGCATATTTCAGTGAGTTTTCAAAGTGTGATGCCGTTGAAAACAATCTAGGAGAGTCTTTCAATGCAGCCATTCGGATTGCAAGGACCAAACCCGTGGTTGAGATGCTTGAAGACATTAGAAGATGTGTGATGACTTCGAATGAGAAGAAGCGATCTGAGGCAGAGAAAGCTAAAGGATCTTACACTCCTAGAGCAAAGGCTTTATTAGACCAACAGATTTACAAAACAAAATATTGTATCCCTTTAAGTTGTGGTTTAGGCGAGTATGAGGTTGCCTATTTTAATGACAGGTTTGTAGTGCAAATGAGAGGTGAACCGAGTTGTGGCTGCAGGATGTATAAAGTGAGTGGCATCCCTTGCTGCCACATGCTTTCTACCCTGCGTATGGAGAGACACGCTGATCAAGATCCAAATCTTCTTCTTTCTCACTGGTTCACCATAGAGAAGCTAAGAAGCTGCTACTCTACTCCATTGAAGGCGGTTGGAAGCATGAACATGTGGAATAGCACTGATGCGCGTGTAAATCCACCTCCATATAAGAGGCCTCCTGGGAGACCTCCAGGAAAGAAAAGAAAGAGAGAAGTTGGTGAAACAAGACCGGGAATGATTCCTAAGAGAGGAACTAAAATTGTAAGTGTTCTGAATCTTGAAATACTGTTTTTATCTTTGCAAAACACAACACTAAACTTGTAATTGTTGGTACACTTTTGACAGCATTGCGGCCTATGTGGACAAGAAGGACACAACAGGCTATATTGTAAGAGTCTACCTGTTGATAAGCCGCTTTCAAACCCACGTGGGAGACCAAGGATACGTCCGGCTACGGAAGCATCGTCTTCTCAAGCACCAGTGATGTCTTCTCAAGTGCCTGTTATATCTGCATCGTCTTCTCAAGCACCGGTGGTATCTGCTCAACTTGTTGCACAAAGCCAACCAATGGAAGATCTTCCAAGTCTTTCAGCTGCTCTCCCAAAAAGGCGTAGTGGAAGACCTCGCAAAACTCAATTTGATTAGCTGCTCGTGCTCGTGCTGCTGCTGGTGGGAAGAATAGTGAGAAGATCGTGAAGTGATTATGTGTCTCAGTTTCTTTTGTGTCTCGTACTTATGTTGTTTGCACCTTTTTGGATCGTATTTATGCTTGTTTTACAAACCCCTGAATGCTATTTGTTATGTGATCTCTTTTAACTCTATGACCCATCTTTGATGTATGAATACTATCTCTATTAGATTTTATTGAATTGTCATATCCATTGTTCTTACTTAAAACATCATACAGAAAAATGATTGGTTTCTATCAGGTTTCAGATCGAACAGAAATTATGTTCATTCATAAAATCAAGAAAAGCATGAATAACACTAAATCATCAAAGAAAAGTACACAACATAACTTAACTAACTTAGAAAATCATCAAAGTTTTCAAACACTAAAGCATCAGAACTTAACTAACTTAGAACAAGCTTTCCACAGATCCATCCTAAGGCTCCTACAACCAAGATGGTGATGCCGACTCTCTCCAAACTCTTCTTAGCTGCAAGCTCTCGAATAGCTTTATTTGCCATCATCATCTCTGCTTCCGTCTTCTCTTCAATCTCTTCCTTTATCTTCTCTTTCAACTCTTCCATCATCTTCTCTTTCATCTCTTCTTCCATTTGAAGAATCTGTTTTTTCCGAAGCTCAAAATTCTCCACCATCTCCTTTCTCAACATTTTCACTTCATCTACAAGTCTTAGGAGCTTCTCATCAGCCATTCTAATCTCGTCGACAAATGCTTCATCGACCCATTTGAAAAGATGTTCCTCGGTTTTCCTCTACACAATCAAAGTGATTCACGACAAAGTGTGATAAAAAAAAAATTGAATTTTGAAGAAGGACTCTGAATGTACGAACCTGTAGTGCGATCTCGCACCTGTAGAATCGCCTAAAAGGATTCTCATCTGTCTGAGAACAATATGTCCTAAGCTTCCTCCCACACCAACATCTCGTTGGAACACCAATTACTTGTCTACGATTAGTGAAATGAGATGAAACAGAAGAACTACTCATGGTTCTGATTTGTCTCTGCTCTATGTTTTCTCTCGATTGATTTGTCTCTGACGCACTCTCTCTCTCTCTCTCTCTCTCTCTCTCTCTCTCTCTCTCTCTCTCTCTCTCTCTCTTTCTCTCTCTCTCTCTCTCTGAAGCTTACTCTGAAGCTCTCTCTTTCGGCTGTTCGTCGCGAGGAAGAAGAACTGCAAAACCTAATTCCCAAATAAAGTCGCGAGGAAGAAGAACTGCAAAACTCTGAAGCTCTCTCTTTCGACCCCTCACATTTCTCAGTTATGATAGTTTCCGCATTCGAAATTTCTACCATATAAAATCAACAAGATACAAAATTCACTAACCTCGGAAGTAGATCGGAAGCAGATACACTAACAATCTTCAATTTTGTCGCAAATGGAGCCTCAGCAAGAGAAGAAGAAGAAGATCGACAGAGCAAAACCTAATTTCGATTTTTTCCCCAAATGCTCAACGAATTGAAAGATATAAAGAGATTAATCCACGTGTTACATAAAAAACAGCATGATTTTCGATCAGTTCCGTATTGCTCAAAACGCAGCGTTTGTTATTCTGTAACTGATATAACATATGTTATAGACAAGGGTTATTTAGCGGGTTGACCGAGGGGTTGACTTGCATTTTCTGCAAGTGGAGGTTAAACTTGCAAAAAAAATTCACTTGAGGGTTTGTTTTGCAGAAAACCCATGTTTTTTATACTCTCTTGTCCATTTACACATTTATTTTTGAATGTCAAATTATATTTGAATTACCCCCACAATCATATATTTTAATATATAATTTATTTCTAAAATTCGTTTTCAAAGAAAAAAACTTATTTAAGGAAACAGAAAATATCTATTATTCTAAAAACGTAACAAAAAATATTTATAAAATCTATTTTTATATATGTTTTGCAAAATTTAGAAAGTTTCTTCTGCGAATTCCCTATGATCTGCAAATTTTAGAACATGCATTCTGCGGTTTCTATATATTATGCGATTCCGTAGAATATACAGTCTGCATAATGTACGTATTATGTAAAGTTTAGAACATGTTTTCTTCGGGTTTTGGAATTCAGAACATGATTTTTTTTCAATTTTTATGTTATCTTTATAATATAGTCTCTATTTGTGATTCTCTTAGATTTATGCGAAAATTAATGGTGTTGACTAAAAAATATTATATACATTTAACATAAATCTGGTTAGTTTATTGAATTTGTTGTCTGCTCTACAACAAATTAATCTAGGAGAATTTATAAAAAACATTGTTTATCATAAATAAATACAACGTAAATTGATGTGACATATATATATATATAAATCATTGGTAACAATGAATAAAGATTTATTATTGATCAAGAAAAACGTACATTGATTATTTATTTTGGAATTTTAAAAAAATAATGTTGAATTTATGATTTTTTGATTAAATTATGTGTTATTTTTTTAGTAATTATTAGAAATAAAATTAAAAAATTAGAGGGTATAATCAGATTTAGATTAATGTAAGGTATAAAGTTACAAGAGTTAATTAAGATGATGTAGATGGACAAGAGAGTACAAAAATATCTTTTGTGCAGGAATAATCGGAATCATTGTTGGCGTTATCAGTTTGCTGCTCGCTCTAGGGGGTTTTCTTAGTTGGAGGAGGAGAAAAGCGTACCAAGAAAGTGAGTCTTCATGATTTGGCACAAAGACACATTTATGTGAAATTATGAGTTCAGGGTAGCAACGTTTTCAAATGTGTATATGTATGTATTGTTGCCTCTTTCTCTGTTCTTCTCAGATGGTTATATTTCTCTTGCAGGAAGGTCAAGGACGACTTATGGTACTGCACCACCAGATGATGGTAAGAGACTATACGGCTCTTTGCGCCAAAACTGCTATAATGCCCTTGGAAATGGACACGCTCCAGCATAACACTATATATGCGTGCTTTCAGATGCAGATGATATTACAACTTCAGGTTCATTTCAATTCGATTTTAGAGCAATTGAAGCTGCAACTAGTAATTTTCACAAGAGTAACAAGCTAGGTCATGGCGGATTTGGTGAAGTTTACAAGGCATAATATTCTTAAACTGTTTCAACTACTAGTTTGTGTTATATGTAAATTCAGGTGCCAAAAAAAAAAACAGAGAGAAAAGAAAATTCTGATTCATACGATTTGACAGGGAACGTTCCCGAATGGAACACAAGTTGCTGTGAAGAGGCTGTCGAAAACTTCAGGTCAAGGTGAACAAGAGTTTAAGAACGAGGTGCAGACCCTATAAAGAAGGATAGAGCATAGTCTAATGGTTATATACATTGGACGTGCAGACCCTATAAAGAAGGATTAACTGGATTGGAGCAAATGATACAACATTATCGGAGGAATCACTCGTGGGATTTTATATCTTCATCAGGATTCACGGCTCACAATCATACACCTGGAATGGCAAGGAATTTTAGAGTGGACCAAACTGAAGCCAACACAGGAAGAGTAGTTGGAACATTGTAAATAACTGTCCATTTTCAGTTACACTCTGTCTGAACTTTCTCTGTTTGTGTTTTTTTGATGAAACTGAAGGTGATATGTGCTCTGTTTTGCAGCGGTTACATGCCTCCCGAGTATGTGGCGAATGGGCATTTCTCGATGAAATCTGATGTTTATAGTTTCGGAGTATTGACTCTGGAGATTATTGTTGGCAAAAAGAATAGTAGCTTCCACCAGATAGATGATTCAGCAGGCAATTTGGTCACATATGTTAGTACTAAAGAGCCAATGCAATCTCTAACTCTCTTAACTATGCTCATGACACTGAATTTTGGTTTCTTGACAGATTTGGAGGCTTTGGAACAATGAATCATTGTTGGAACTCGTAGATCCAGCCATGGGAGAGAATTATGATAAAGATGAAGTCATTAGATGCATCCACATCGGTTTATTGTGCGTTCAAAAAAGTCCTTCAGATCGTCCAACCATGTCCACAGTATTTCAGATGCTCACTAATACTTCAATTACTCTGCATGTGCCTAAACCACCTGGATTCTTCTTCAGATCCGAGCCAACCCCATTAGCCGAGATATTGCGGCCTGGTCCATCTAACAACAATTCTATTCCTTGTTCCATCGATGACGCATCGATCACGAGTGTTAATCCTCGTTGAAATTAGAGGTTAATGATTATATGTATATCCTTTCATAAGCCAAAAACCCTAATAGTGACTTCATTATTAACGTACACTGAAATTTACGTTCTCGTTAAATTGAAAAGGAGTCACAAATTACTAAAACACACACACGTAGACACACACAGTCATAACTCACACACAGGGAATCTGAAATATCTATAGAAAATAAAAAATGGGAAAGATGAGTTCTGTTTTAGTCCTCTGTTTCTGCACAATATTGTGTTGATTGTTGAACGTTACAAATGCTGGTTTGGCTAGTTCGGCTCAGCTCTATTTAAAATTACAATGGAGCTCTAACCAATACTTTTCGGTTCGGTTTAGTTTGGTTCTAGTTCGGTTAAGTCAAATTGCCCACACCTTAAGGTCCCTTCCTTAACTGCAGTTACACGGATTTCCAAATGAAAGTAACCAAAACCAGCTAGTTGAATTAGTAAACCGGGATCAAAGCTCTTACTCGATAGTTCGTTCCCTTCTCTCTCTCTGGCCTTTAATTGCCTTTACTAAATTTTGATGAGAAATATTTTTGAACGCTACTAAATTTTGATCCGCGATTAATTAAAAATACTCGTCTCTCATATTATATATTTTTGCAGTGGAAATGAGAGAAATTGAGTCTGATATTTTAATTAATTTGTTATTGTGTCCAAATTCAAGATATTGGTCCAATAGAAAATAAAATATGTATGCATTTTTGATACATTTTATTAGTTATTATTAACATTAATTTGATTTATTTTCTTTAAAAATTTACAATAATTTTTAAATTAATTTTAGCCAAAATTTTGTATGTAGATTTTGTTAA